CCGAGATCTTTTGGGGGGGGGGGGGGGCGGCCCCCCGGCTGAGGGATGGTCAAAATAACCCTCCCCTTTTTGGGTTAAAATGTCATTCACCATCTCAGCTTTCAGTCAGTCAATGCAATAAAATAAGAATTTTGAGGCTAAAACGATATTTAGATCACCGTTTCAAAACATCGTCAATTTCGCATGTCCAATTTGCGGGGGTTAAGTTCCTTTCGTATGACGGTGACGGTAGGACATAGCACCCCGTCCTCTTCACACGCACCATCTTCATCTGGTCTTTATTATTCTAGCACTTTCGCCACAACTGTCTCCCGAGAGTTTGTACTACTTATTATTGATCTGTCCTCCAAATGTCCCCTGAGTGTCTCTGAATGCACAAAGAATCTGAATCAAACCAACTGTGATTTCGTCATTAGTCACTATTAATGATATAGGGTAACCTGAATCGGGCATGTTGAAGACTGTGGATTTCCCTGGCACCTGCTCTCGTGTTTGTTAACATAACAAACAAAAGGCTGCATCCTTTTCATTCCTGGGCAGTTTCAGAGGACATCACACAATGGTTTCAAGCCTAGTGTTCAACAGTTTTTCGTACTTGTTATATCTCTCTAGCTGCTGGATGATCTTTGCTGTCAAGTATTTTACCCCAACACACATCTTCGCTGTTGTTAACCTCGAGGCTAATTGATAGTGAGGCTTCCCAAATTACGTTGGCAAAAATGTATAATTGGGTAATTATTGATTTAGATAGGCGTTCCAGATTCACGCCGAACCAAATACAGACTTTTGTGGAAATTTACTACAAGTACAACTCTATACCGTATCAACAACTCTATACCGTACAATACACCATTTGAACTTTGACCTTCGCCTGACCTTGACCTAGACCCCAAAAGGGCGCGAATTTTTTTTCCGTACGCTTTTTTTATTTACACACGCATATGGGCGTATTTCGAAGTACGTTGAGTTGCAAGTCAGGTTCTCGGATTTTATTTTTCCTGGAAAAAAAAAATCTTTCAAACCACATATTGGTAAAAGTAAAATGTTCCAAATGACAAACAAACCTTTTTGAGAAAAAAAATAAGTAAAGCAGAAGAACTACAAAAGAAATCCAATGGGAATTGAACTCTTACCATCGGGTTTGTAATCCAATGTAGTATCCATGACACTAAAACAGGGACTCCAGCGATGTGGTAGTTTAAACTATTGCTTATATAGGGCCCTCCAGCATAATTCTATATATACTAGCAAGCGTGTGGTACGGGGAAAAAAAAATCGCCAACCGGGCACCCTGATTTAGAATGTCTTCTAAGGACCTATAAAGTAAGCAGTGATGTAGGTCTCGACGCAGGTCTCGGTATCGAGACCGGTCTCGAGACCGATTTTCTTAGGTCTCGACAATTTCAATGTCTCGACTAAAAAAACTCGGTCTCGATCTCGGAGCAAAGATCTCGAGATCTTGTGGTGTCTCGAGCAAACGAGACCTTATTATTCAATTGAGAAAACCACAAAAAAATTCCAAATATATTTATATCTGACCATATCTGACTTACTTGCGACAGTTTCGATAGACGGTGCTATCGATTCCGAGGAACGCAATCCAATTGTTTAAGCAAACTCCCTTACGGTACTTGGGTACAATGCACTGTACCGCATGCGCTATGCGTGTGGACCGCATCGAGTTGATCAAGCGTTCAACTGAGGACGTTTGATCGAGGAAGTACATATGTAAAGCTAATGTTCCAGTCTTCCAGATAAAAACTGACGGGCAAAGAAAACAAATTACCGTCTTCTAATTTTCTTTTCAAACAGTCTGACAAATGGTTGAGATTTAAAATTTAAAGGGGTACACTGTTACAACATTTGAATTCATTCAACATTCAGAACAAAAACTCTTAGCATCATGTATGTTTGTAATAAATATACATTTCTCATTTCCCTATGCTAATTAGTCCAAGGTCTCGGTCTCGGCTTTGGACCCTGAGGGTCTCGGTCTCGGTCTTTCAGGTCTCGACTACAACACTGAAAGTAAGTGTACCAGTAAGTTTTTGGTGCCTAAATCCGGCGTGTCAAGATGTATTACTTAAGCCTCTGGACTATAATGTATTTATAATAGTCTTGTTAATATTATAAAGAGAATCATCAGTATTTAATGGAAGATAATGTTTTGAATTTCTTTTTTAAATTATGAAAGGTTTGCGGAAACACCATGTGCGAATAATTTCTCAACTAAGAGAATGGTTCTGAAAAGAACCAGAGGTATAAACTCGACGTTCCGGGTGGCACCCTGGGACATAGCGTCTACAGGAAACCAACCCACACCGACCGCTTTCTCCACCAGCGGTCGTTTCATCACCCAAGCATCAAGTCATTGGTCAACCGCACCCTAGTACAAAGAGCCTTTGAGATCTGCGACCAAGACAACCTCAAGCGTGAACTCAAGCACCTCCAGGCGTCACTACAACGGAACGGCTACAAACCCAACCGCATCACGATCAGCAAACCTGACCAACGGGTCTCCTATACCCAAGGTCCTTCCACTGTATCTCCCTCAGTCACTCTTCCTTACATAGGTCCAGCTTCTCATCATCTGCAACGCATCCTCCGACAAGCCGGCGTCAAGGTGTACCACTCATCTGGCAACAAGCTCCAAGGCAGCCTCAATACTCACAAGGACAAGCAGGACTCCTCTTCCAAGGCGGGAGTCTACCGCATTCCATGTGAATGCGGCAAAGTCTACATCGGCGAAACCGGTCGGAACCTTCCAACTAGGCTCAAGGAACACAGAGCACATGGACGACGAGGGGATTTTGACAAATCGGCCATTGTCAAACATTCCCACATCAACGACCACAAAGTTGATTTGGATGCGGCCGAACTCATCGCACCGATCCAGTTCTGGCATCCAAGACGCATACGGGAAGCCATCGAGATCCGCAAGCACAACACAGTTCCGCAAGACATCGGGTTTCACCTCAACGACATCTGGCTCCCACTTCTCCAGACTGATGGGTCTCCTATACCCTAGGTCCTCAGCTACCACCTTAGACTGATGGGTCTCCTATACCCTAGGTCCTCCCTCTACTGACACTGCAACCCTACTGTTCCACTTCAGTGGGCACCAAGCTTGTTCTAGCAAAAGTGCCGAAACAGCCAATAAAAAAATGCCCCGGCCCCGTCGCACACTTGTCCGAGAAAAATGTTTTATTGTATTGAGGGCGCTATTGCCGCTACCATAATGGTATAAAATCCGCCTCGCTCTTATGTACGACGAAAGGGACGTAAACCAGACTCAAACGTCATCGAACAGGCCATGTCCGAATAGGCTGCGGCTGCGGCCGTACGCGCGCACAGGCTTGTGCGATCGGCCACAACCTAGCCGCAGCCAATAATTTGGGCGCGAACTGAGACCCGTTACGTCATCCATCTGGTGTACTGCCTCTCTTGCGTGCTTACTGAATTAAGCGCGGGCCAGGCACGGCGCGGTGGTCGTATTGATGCCATGTTTGTTTTCCACACACGTTGTTTCTTCATAGTCTTCTGTGGTTTTTCGTTGATATTTTGACCGTGCTGAGTCGCACTTTTTTTTGTCAACGTTTTTGTATGAGCATATCAACTGCAACATGGACCAGGAGGATGATACACTGAAGGAGAAAAAGCAGCGGAGTCAAAAATTCCGAAGGGAATATCGTGAAAAATTTCACTTCATAAAAGCTTCACGAAGAGGAGAATCATACGCTTTATGCACGGTTTGTTGATCGGACATAAAGATTTCAAGCGGAGGACTAAATTACCTCAACAGACACATCAAAACACCAAAGCATGTCAGTAATGTAGAGGCAGAAAAGAGCCAAAAATAAGACAAAGTACAGATCAAGCATGTCCACAGCTACACTCGGCTTATTTATGACTCACAAACTTGCCCTGCAGAACAAGGACATGAAGTGCTTTTCAACAGACTATAGTGATGCAGTCCTCAGAATTGCCAAGAAAGCCACCTATCAAGCACTCAGCCAGCATGGTTGCTAACCATCTACCAGTTCCACAGGAGACCAGTAATGGGTATTAATTATGAAAATGCTGCCACTTCAAGTACACTGCAAAAACTGTGTTTAGACTCTAAACGTTTTTCTAAACACTTTTTTGCTATCAGTTTGTAAACATGTCCCATCGCTAAACACTTGCAGTGTTTAGCACCAAAACACTTGGTGTTTAGATATTAAACATTTGTTGTTTAGAAATGAACATTATGGTGTTTAGAAATTAAACATTAGTGTGTTTAGAAATTAAACATGATAGTGTTTAGAAAATAAACACAACACTTCACAAAAGGAAACTAAAAATTCACTGATTCGTTTTCAATACACTTTTTTTTTATTTTACAACTTTTTAACTTATTCTAAGACATTTTGAACAAACTTTAACAAACTTTAATGTCCAACATTTTCATAATTTTGTTTGAAATTCATTTAGCATTTAAAGAAAATTAAATGAATTTAATTTTAGAAAAAAATCAATTAGTTTATGCTTTTAATTCAAATAGCTCATATTTCATTTCATTTTTTAATATACAAATTTTGTATTTAGCTTTTAGCAATGCACAATTTCAACCTTTTAGTGTCCATAAAATGTTTCTTTTTCCTGAGGAACACATCTTGTGACACCATGCTCTTCTTCATTGAATGCTTGACATCCCATTTGAGTTGATTTTATTAAAAAGTGCACCTTTATAATCATTAAAAAAAGTACAGTCGAACCCTGATAAGAGCACCGTCAATACAACATCCTGCCAATATAGGTCTCGTTCAAATGACGTCATTTCCTACAGGCCATGAACTGACACAACAAATCCGTGAAAAAAGAGAACATTTTACAGCGACAAAATGTCCCAAAATCTGGTGCCTTTTAGTGCTGAAAAGCCGTAACACATCAGTGGTTTCTGCCTCAAATGACATCCTTTGCTCATGAATATTCTCAATGGCGTAAAAACATAAAAGGCACCAAAATATCAGGTAAAATGGCAAATGAAAATTGAAAATAAGATTAAATGGCACACATGCATTTTCAAGGATTGCATGTAAAATTACATTGCACATGGGCTCTTTAAAATAATAATTTCAGTTACACTTTGGATTTTGCATATTAATACACGTACTACATGTCAAAAGGGCTACTCATCATCCTAAATAACTTTTTTGTTTGCCAATGGAATTAAACCAAAATTTCAGATTTTGTAAAAAAAGCATGACACATTTTATGGAGCAAGTTTCATCAGTTTTGTGCAAGAGGGTGAGAATTATACGCCATACGAAAAAAAAAACTCACTTCAGAAAATTGATACTGTGCTGGAAACGGTGGCAGAAGGGGCATGCTGCTGCTGACAGCTTCTGTGAAGGAATGCAGGATCACTCCTGATGACATTGCACAACTCTACGATTGCATGTTGCGCCAACCGAAGGTATGCAATGACATCAGGGGTAATACGGCATTCCTTGCCACCGTCTCCAGCTCTATATCGAAAATGGAGGACGCCAAGTCGAAATTGGCAGATTATAATAGTGATTATTTTTTTTGGCGCATGGCGTATAAATCTCACCCTCTTGCACAAAGCTGATAAAAATTGCCCCATAAAATTTGTCATGCCTTGTTGACATGATCTGAAATTTGGTTTAATTTCATTGGTAAACAACAGAGTTTTAGGGTCAAAAGCAGGACTTTTTTCAACAATCTAGCTTCCCACCAATTTTCATGACAATAGGAACTTCCCTTATACATGTTTTTAAAAATGGAATTGTTGATGACATGAACATGACGTCAACAGTTTTAACATTCTAAAAATCCTAAGTGAACATAGCAAAGTTATTTAACATTTTTGGAAGTATTCAACTTTTATGTTGTTTTGATGTGCTTATTCAACATGTTGCAGGGACCGCAATCTTTTCTCAAATTTGAAGAAACTGCAAGACCGCTCAAATGGAGACAGTCTGTCTTTGAGCAAAAACAGTTGCAGGAAACCAAGAACCTGGTACTGTATTGGATACTGAAGGTCCCAGGCATAGTATGCTTGGGACAAGAACAGGACCATCTCCATCACATTTTTTGTGTCCCTCATCTCTACGACATTACCATCATGTAGAAGGAACCCATTGGACAGCTCATGATCGTCTTCATGTGATATGATGACTAGGCGGGGTGCCTCGCTAGCTACAGACGTGGGAATGTACGTGGCCTGGTTATAAAGAGAAACAGGGAGATAAACGAAAGAATCAATTACCATGTGTACAGAAGTAAGCTAGTTAGGGACCGATGGTTGCACACAGGTAAATTATAGACTTGTAGATGTCGCAGTTGGAATCTCATTTACATACAGCGCACTGATTGTGTGCACAACGTGTAATGCAAGTCAAACTTGAACTAATCGTATTATTTCATAGGACCCTATACCCACACAAATTACTTTTTTGATCTTTTGTGGCATCACCCATAGAGATCATGGTATGACATCAATAATCATAGTGTGTTCATGCATCGAGTAACCCATAGAATTAAATTATAATCATAAGGACCTCTGCGCATGCCAACTACTAGCATTTGTCTAAATGTTATATTAGAGAATACCTACCCTGACAAAAGACATTTGATTAACTATTTGAAAATGTTGACCAGTCAAACACTGTCACAAACACATTTCTCTCTATGCACAGTAAACAAATAAGGTTTACTACACACTGCTGAGGGAACCCTTCACCAGACACTGTAGCACACAAAACTACCCCTGCCTATTACTCACCGACACGTCCGCAACCACCCCAGTACTATGTGGTTTCATTGTTTCTGACACGCAAATATTCTGTAATACAATATAGTGCAGGTGCTACAAGACATACAGCATAATGGGCTATCAGCAACCATTATCATGTATGTGCTTGTGCACTCTCAGGGGCAAGTTAATGTAAAGCATGTATGTATTTATTTATTGGATAATTTCTCAGGCAAAATATAAGACAACAAAAGAAAAGTTTGCACTTACTTTTTCCACCGATATTGCTGGTTGAAGTTTCTTGACCCTCTTGGTTATGGCAATCTTGGTGTCTACGTATTTAAGTAGTCCGATTTCACCCTCGGTGTTCTTAAAGTAAAAGAAGCGTTCCGAGATTTACTTCAATTATCAATTAAAGAAAAAATTGGGCATTAGAGGAGTGCCGGGTGCCTTGCAGAGTTGATGTGACAATAAGTCAATGATAACGGCAGACTGTTGCACCCCTATATACAAAACAATCGATAATATAGGCAACACCTCAGTAATCAATTTGCCCTTGAAATCCGAGTCAGCCTTTCCTGATTTTGTTATTAATCATTAAAATTCTTTGAAAACCGTGCCTGCTTGTATTTAAGCCAACATATTGCCATCAATTATCAATATTTTTTAGTAAAAAATCCGAAGATTTATTTTAGATTACAAATATCCTGCAACAGCACATCTCTAGATTTCTTTAAATAAAAAATAACCTGCGACAACACATCCCAAGATCTATCAAAGTTCAATAGTACATGTAGCACCTTCAATGATGATGAATTATCTAGTCTTCAAATCCACTGAGTGTAAGTTTTTTTTAAGTACATGTAAGACTTACCTCAAATCTATCCTGCTTGGTGCACTCCGTTACCATGTTGATTAGACTGGTCCAGTTTTGCTGTAAGCTAGCCTCTGACACTTCTGGTTGCCTTAGGAAGAATTCCCTCTTTATCTGCATACAATACATACAAAAAAGAAAATGTTTACAAACGCACTAACATAAACCCAATACATTCTGTACAATGTGTGCTTATGACAAATTACATCATGTCAGATTGATTATACAACTTGAAATACAGGTTGTAGTAAATGAGTTATTATGGGTGGCCATAAATACTCATGCATAACAAGCAAAATGTCAGTTAGCAAGTCATGAAATTTAATAGCATTTTCTTCATTTCCAAGTGGGATAAAGTTGTGCCTTTCTTCCAACTCAAAATGTATGTTTTAATACTTGAAATTATCCTCTTACGGCATAAAGCAAATTTTTGTTGTTGAAATACAACATTCAATCAAATGTGGAAATAATAATTTAATTAGTCTTATATTTATAATGAAATTCTAAATCCCTTGCAGTTCCCTTGCAGTTAAAAGTTAAACAAGGTGTAAACTTACAAACTTTTCCTCCAAGAGGAAGGGATAGTCATGAAAAGTCGGTTTCTCCCTCTTGCGCAAGTTAAAGGTCAGTTTTTGGAGATGTCCAATTTTGGCCTTGTCAGGCTTGTCCTTCTGCAGTTCAGAGAGCAGATCGGCTTTCAAGAGCTCTTCAGGGCTGTCTCCATCAGCTACAGGAATTATTTGGAAAAATCAAATCTACAAAGAGTTAAAGCCTATGAAAACAATTGAAAAACTGGTCTGTTACTTGAATAAATTTGCCTACATCCTGAATTTGTTCATAAAAAAGTAGCCCGGTATCTTTGGTTTTAGGGATGTGTTAAAATATGTTTTATATCAACACGTGTAAAGTCAGTCAACAAAAAAAAAAAAAAAAAAACAGTTTAACATTAAGCACCTAATCATTAAAGGCTGTGCCCAATACACGTAAACATGCACATGATCTCAAAAATATGCATGTAATTTGTTCTTTTTGGTATTTTAATTGACTTTTTGTTTTGGTTTGCATGGTTTATTGTCAATTAATGCCACATTTATGTCAGCAGTCTCTTTCAGAAATTATTGTTTCATCCATTTTCTTTGATAAGGACCTTGACAAGTATCACATTTAGTCTGCTAAACCACTCAAAGCTCAAATATGAGATCCATTGTTATCCAAACATAATTTTGTATCAATATGTTATGTGCATTTTGTTCCCAACTGGCAAGCAATTTTGACTAGTACATTGCAACTGCTTGGCAAACTGGCAAACTTCTTGCCAAAATAGATGGGCAGGTTGCTACTGGCCAGTTAATACAATGGAGACAAGCTGCAGGGTATTCCTTCTACAGCTTTTTTTGTATGCTGAAAGAGCATGTTAGCCATGTTTAATAAATATGATCTTATTGATACATGTAGATATCCAAATGTTTGAATAACTTACTCAACTTGAATTGTTTTTTACTATATTTACCTAAATACATACACCTGAACCTTAACGACATCGCACTTTGTTTATAGGTGCGCCTAATTCTTATGGGAGGAGCGCATGAAACTACCATAAAAAGCGCATGTATACATACAAAGCATGACATTCTAAATTTAACAATGCATTTACAACAAGCCTCATCCTCAACTCACTTCAATAATGGGATCTCACCTTCAAAACTGTAATCAGCTGCTGCCACGGCAGTCCTTTTAGTTGTAGCTGGTTGTTTGGTTTGTTCCATCTTCCTTTTTCTGGTCCATCTTATGTTCCTCATCTTCTGGGAAAGTCTCTTTACAAAGTGATTCTGAAAATTACAGTAACGGGAAGAATTATAGGAATGGGAGCAATCAATGTTTGAAAAAATGTCATGCCATTTACAGCTAATACTGACTTGATGAGTAATGCATTTATAGATTAGTGGAATTCATCCAACAATATTAATCTGTATGTTTTACGAATCAGGTATTTCAAATCATGTACATGTTTACTATATTAAGTGGTAAAAGATGATGGAATTTGGATGTTGCACAAAAGACACAGTTTTACATTTTCTCAATGAGATCTGCACAACAGGCTTTAAAATGATGTGATATTAAAACAACGAATGCCATCAAGAAAAAAGTTACTGTCAACAAAAAAAGTGCTACCTGAAAAAAACGGCAACTTTATGATTAAGACAATCAGTAATATCACTTAAGTTGATTTTTTTCCCTCGAATATTCAAACTGGCAAAAAGCTATTTGAATATTTAGTTGATCATCGCATACGCAGCATATTTGGCACAGCCCTAAAACTGGAACACCCACATTAAACCAGTTCGCACTGGAGGCGTGTATACACGCTAGCGGTTTGTGGTATTTGAAACGAATGACAGATGAACACGCAGGGTGCGAGGCTGGAAATATCTGTCAGTGACCTGCTCGCAGCAAGCGAGGCTGGAAATATCAGTGTGCTACCCGAGAGTGATGGCTGCAACCCGCCTGGCATTGAGATCGAGTGACAATAAATCCCCCGTCTTCAAGTTGTTCCGTTTTTTGTCAAAATAATCCCGGCATGAACTGGTTAAGACGTTCATGAGCATGGATGTGATGCAAGTGAATAATATCAGCGAACAATTTTTGACATAAATATGTACATGTATACATACCCATGGTTTTTTGCCATGCTCCTCAAAGAGTATGCAAGGCCAACGCTCGCTGACAAGCCTTCCTACATCATCGTACTCTGATGGTGCTTTCATGTCATGATGTTTCAAAATGAAGTAAGCGGTCTCTGCGATGAGTGCATCCCAGTCTGCCATGATGTTCCCACTTTTCAGTGCACTCACGACACGGTCCGAGTATTGTGGCCATGTTTGCGGTGTGGTGAACATGTTCCACATAGGAGCTAATACAAAAATTAAAAATAAAATAAAAAGATAATTACATTGCTGTATGCCGTAGGCCACCTAGTTTGGGATTTAAAGCAGTCATTTTGAAGAAAACAATAAAAGAAAGCCGCTTTCAAAGATGTGTCAATCCATGAATGGGTGCACGCACGCATTGACACAACACACACATGCCCGGTTGTTACATTTATTCGTCAGATCAGTGCAGTGTAGCTGCAATCGGTTGAATGAGAAGGTGTACCAGACACTTATTTCAGGAGTAATTCAAAACATGAATACATACAGATTCACTGAGCTAGAATTTAATCAGTTCAATAATTGTAATTGTAAAGCAATATACGTCATCTTTAGATTTTAAGCACTTTTGTTGCTTCAAACAGAAAACCTGCAAAAATGACAAATGATTACCCTACCTTAAACCGGAAGTGATGGTCAGTATAAAGCAAGAGAGTATTATAAAATTGTACACTTAAGGCCCCCTAAGATCCACAGAAGATTAATCCAGTTATGTGCAGAGAGATTATCCTACTAAACTAAATTTCACTGGTGTCAGGCTTTCCTTGCAACTTCCAAGACATTTGATGCCATGTTCTGTACATTACCACTTCACGATGCTTTGAAAGTATTAAAAAGAATACTTTCAATATCTTCAGTGTCAGCCGCCAATAGAGCGCTTGCTAGAAATGGATTGACCGATCAACATGCAACGGCAGTTTCAATAAAATACTTACTCTTTGGGGTTTCCAGCCTACTTGAAGGGCCTTGAAGGGCAACATCAGAAGACTCTAGATCCTGATGACTACCCGCCTCTTCTGCTACATCGTCTCCCCCTGCACCAACAGACACCATACTCGGACTTGAAAGCTTGCTGATGTCCAAGATCCTTGGGGCCATTGGAGCTGCTGTTAGCTGTGACCTCACATCTGGTGATTGGAGTACTCCAGGCAGATCAGAATCACCTTCTGGGCCCGTGGCTTCCTCTGCACTTAGAGGTGCATTAAGTTCACTTTGAACCTATAGAGGAAAGAGTGTAGGAATCCTTCACAACCTTATAACTCCCTATCATCTTCAAATAGGAACTGGACAAAGTCCATCAAAATCAATCAATCACTGTGTGTCCAATACAAAAAATGTACATGGCATAATGGAATCCAGCACTTGTGTCATTCAAAACGTTTAGTATCCATGGCACAGGGCCAGTATTAATTGGGTTCAATGCTTTATGCCTCTTGGCTGCAAAAAATTAAGCGGCAAAGGACTCAGCTGATAATTTTGTCTCCAACTCTCCTTGTAACGTGTGTAAGTCTGTGTGTCTTTCCCCACCGTTGTTTTGACTAGCGAGAGAGAATGTCCAGGGCCTTCGTGCAATTGAATTCCTAATAAGTAGATTCTTGGCTCTGGGCTGTGTGCACAGAGAATTGGTAATTTACTCCGTAACCGATTCTTTTGTAGCCAGAAGCGAGCATAGCGGGTACCTGCTTCTTGAAAAGATTGGACTCGAGGTTCCGGTTCCCACATTGGACACGGGTAGAACTGGGAAGTATCCGGAACCATCCAATGTGCATTCCTCGTTTAAGGCCAATAATATTATACATATTTCTGCTTCCAATTACATGACATTAAAAAAAAAGGGTAGGTACCAGTAGGTAGGGAAATTGTGTTTTTTGCCATTGTTTTTTGTGTACGATCAAATTGAGGCCTCTGCGTGTAGTCAAGGGTAAAAAGTAGAAATAGGGTTGGTAAGGAAACCAGAAGCAGAACTATTTTATTTTTGCCTAATTACATGAATTAATAACTATAACTTACCATCATCACCTTCCTGACATATCCCACCTTCCCTGGAAACATTCTGAAAAGGTCATCTTCAGTAAGGCTGAGAAAAACTGAAGAGTCTACACCATTCTCTGCAACATATGCAACAGAAATCAACTAAATGTAAGTAAATCAAGTACATGTAACCTCATTCAGTGAACTACTTTTGCAAAAGAAAACAATATGATATTCCATTGCTTCCTTACATATCCACTGTTATTTTAAAAATTACTTGTACGTCAAGTTTAGATTGACCCTGCAGATTTTGGGAATCTATTTTTATTCTCCAGTGAGGTTTTCATGAGAATCCATGAAATTCTCGCAAAAAAATCTACTGCATAAACTTTGATTAATGAAAATGACGTTGATTCTTGCACATCTGTTTAACAAGAATCATTTTCAGAATCAATGTCCAATATTCTTGCGCAAATGTAATTTACAAGTATGGTTAAGTGCTTGGGTAAGTACATGTACATGTATAACACTCTTTCAACTCTTATCCTAACCCTACATAGCATTTGCAGTGGGGTAGGGAGGTTTCACTCACCTACTGCTACAACTGCCATACATCATCAACATTTTGAAGCATCACATACTTGGTCCTGTCCACTGTATGCACAAGCTGGGGCCAGTGATATGTTAGGTCAGTTTCTGGCTTCAATGCCACAGTTTTCACTTCACCAGTGTTGGCAACACTGAAAGCATTTAGATGTGAATTGAAAGCAACTGTTTCTAGTTCCTCACAAATAAAATATGTGGCTTTGTTGAAGATCAGGATCTCATCAATTGTAATGAACTTTGGATACTCCCACTGGGGACATTCTTTTATCAGTATGGTGCCAGCTGTGTATCGATGACCACGAGAAATTAGCTCTGTAGTTTTCAATGCTTGGTGTGCACAAACATCCTCTGAATCTCCATACTCTCTCTGAATCATAGAATGGCGGAATTCCCTGTCAGCAATACTGCAAGTATGCCCTTCCTTAACAATGTCATCCTCTGAAAGGTATGCATGTGAGGCCGAGCCATCAGCATTGAACTGCTGCAAGCACATTTTGTACTGGTGTTGAACAGTCACCGATTTGTGGATGGCCTTGAAGTTTCTATATTTCTTGTCTTTGCACTCGCCATGTTTACCTTCTAGCCGCATACACGAATGATTTCTTGCTGGTCCAAAATCACATATCTGCTTTGGTATGTGACTGAGATAGTGCATTTTTGGTGTGATTGGCCTTTCTGGGTAGAGCCGTCTAAATGCAGAATGATGGGTTGCGATGAGAAGCTTCAGTGTGTTCACAGTTCGAGTTGAAGCTACCGATGAAAATGTGAGCAGCGTAATTTGTATCAGTCTTAGGTAGTTGATCCACTTCTCATCTGTTTCTGGTATGAAGTTTCCAATCATGAAAGGAAGGAGCACAAGAAGGTTCTTCATTGACTGAGCAGTTTGCTGTAACTTGCTATCAGACTGCACATTATCCCGTGAAATTTCAACAGGTTGATCTTTCTTCTCTTCTCGCGTGTATTCAAAGCTCCTAATGATAGCATTAAGTTTTGCGATAGTGAAGAACTTCATTTCAACACAGTGAACTAGTAGTAGTTTAGTTTCCATTGGAATTATCCCCTCCAGCAGGACATGCATAGGGTCTTGCAGAATGCACTTTGTTGCCTTGAATTCTGGAACATCCAAAAATTCTGATCTTCTAGTTACTCCGTACATCTTTGACCAGTATTTTCTGGCTTGTCTTGTCATTTCACTTGTTAGATTCTCGCACCTTTCAAGATGTTCATTTTCATCCCTCAGTGGTGATGGAATGATTATCGAGTTGTTCTCTAGTTCTTCATGCGTGACTTCACATGTTCGACATGGCTTGTATGCTTTGCCTACTCCCTCTTTAAATCCTCCCATCAACTGTGCTGCTGGGGTATCACCTAATACAAAGGCTAGCTTTCCTTTGATTTGTGTTCTTTGGTTGGCACCCGTTGGAGAAACTGTTGTCATTACTACTCCGTCATACAGTTGTTGAAAACACTTTTTACAATTTTCCAAGATCTTGCCAAATCCATATGTTTTCAAGTCTGCAGTTTTTGCCATAGCAACAAGCTGGATTGCCTCAAGTTTTGTTCTGAGATGTGGAGGAATGTTCAACAATACATAGTAGAATGCAGTCAATTTATGAGTTTTTCGATGACTTCCTATTGGGTTTGCTAATTCAAAGTCATCCGAGTACAGAGCAAATGCCAGTGCTTGTGGATTCTGTTGTAAGTATGGATCTGATTGAAAGTACAATCCATCGAACACATCTTCCATTAAGTCTGATCCAAAGTCAGTAACTGTATGTGTCATGATATGCTTACTCACAGACGGACACTTCAACAGTGCCTGCAGTGATCCAATAATGGGTACATAGCAACCATATACGTCTACCTTTTCAACACGATATAATGATCTTTTTGCTGAATTGTGTATTCCTTGTTTATTTTTGTAGATCTCACCAAGTTTGATCTTCTCTGGTTCTATTAGGTTAAATCTTTTTTTCCAACTTTTTTTCAAGAGGTATGTGGAGTTCAGTCCATGAAAAATAGGTTGTTTGCAACCAACCAAACCATCAATCTCTTCTTGTGTTAATTTATTTGTCTCACATAATTTGGCTTTTAGTTCATCAAGTTTCTGGTTGACCAAATATTCAGTTGACATTTGAACTTCGTTGAGTCCACTCTCAGACATGTAACACATCGACTTCAATTTCAGCATATAGTAGGATGCCGCATGATCATGTGTGCTCTCAAACTCATCTTCTGCATTCTCCATAGGATCCTCAAAATCTTCAGTTCCAACATCATTTTCTCTTTGCGTAGTACACACCTCAATATCAATGTTGTCATGCTTCCTGCTGACATGGGACTTAAAACTGCCGTAGTTTTTAAATGATGCTCCACAACCTACTACACTGCAGTGCACGATAAATCGCGGGGCATTTCGGTGACATTTCACTAGATGTTTAACAAGTTCCTTAAGGCTTGCAGAGAAGAAGGGGCACATTGCACAGGAATGTACATTTTCCATTGCATTTGTTTCGCAATGTGCTACAACTATTTGCTATCATTGGTTCATCATGTGCTCCGTGCACCAACACAAGAGGGCGTGTGTTTACCACTTTTGAGGGACACCTTACTGGACTGGTTCATCATGCGCGAAGTACGCACAACTCATTTATTCTGAATGTGCACAAAGCTAAGCCATAGCGTCTTCACGCATGAGCGTCAGGCGTCGTCGGCACATGAATATGTTTGAATTTTACTTTCGGTGGTCTCGCAGACTAATCACCCCGGCCCCCTCCCCAAATAACTTTGGATCATTCAAAATATGCAGTGGTCATGGACCGTATGGACAGGAACCGATCTAGGTCTCCCCCAACTCTCCTTTTCTGGCTGTTGAAGGGGTACTTGTGCACGGAGCCCACTTCCATTCCGATGATAATGACACATGCTCGCTGCGACCAATGAAAGGAAAAACAAAAACAAAGTTTAACATTTCAGGGGTCGATGGGTGTTTCTAGTTTTTTAAATCTTTGTAGAGAACTAACAAAGTGATGTGATTCTGAGGATCTTTGCGTATATGTGCGATGATGAAGTTCATGCGTGGCCTATTTTATTTTTAAAGTACATTTACAAAAGTGCAATAATAAAAATAAAACGTTACACGGAAACAATATCCCACACACCATGAACATTCTGCGTCCAATTGCACTAGCGTACACACTAGCGTACACATTAGTGCTAGGCTCAGTGTACATGTACATCTGTACAATTGTACCATTGCAAGTTGATTCGAACGTATTCGCTCATGCGGAGACACGGTGGCTATTTACTAAATTTGCACATTCAGAAAGTTGTGAGTTCTTCTCAAGTGGCTCTCAAAAGTGGTAAAAAACACGCCCTCTTTCATTGGCGCACAGAGCCCGTGATGAACCAATGATAGCAAATATTGGACTTGTACATGTACATGTATTTGCAAAACAAACGCAATGGAAATTGTACATTCCTGTACAGTACTATGAATATGCATTATTCAGTTCATGACCTCATGTTTGTATGGCCATAGGCCAGCCGCGCCACACGCCCGACAAACATCATAAACTGCAATGCCCTAGCACGTCGGCATAATGCATACATTACAACGCGGCCGCCATTTTGAAATCGCATGAAGGACATTTTCGGGAACGATATTTGTGGAAGATGATGACTGAAAGTCGTCTTTTGGCCAGATGGATGAAAATATTGAGACCAAAGAACGTTTTTTCGAAAAGGTATGAGTTCCTCTCTGACTAGGAACCTTAACTTTGGAAATTTTTGTCCTGGATGAGAAGATATATAATTTTGATCAAAATTGGTAGCAAAGTCGCTACATTAGAGTTCAGCGTTAAGGGGAGCGTTGGCGGTCTGGCTGTACTACAGAGCTTGCGATAGTACTGTACGGTCAGATGCAGTCGGGCTAGTTGCAAACAACCTATTTTTCATGGACTGAACTCCACATACCTCTTGGGAAAAAGTTGGAATTTTGTTTTTAACCTATTGAACCGGAAAAGATTAACTCAGTGAGATCTACAAAAATAAACAAGGAATTAATACACAATTCAGCAAAAAGACGTGCATACTGTTCGTATTCTTTTTTTTTAAATGTCCGCGACCCAACCTGACATTTTAAAACCAGCACAAATAATAATAATTTAATTCAGTGCTGCAATTTTTCAACATGAAATTTCACAAAAATTAGACATCTGATAAAGGCAGCACTTTCTGATTATGCGCCTATCAATTGTTTCCCCCACCTCTCCCCTCTCGGGCTGCCCCACCCAAGACGTAGGGATTGTCACTTTTGAAGTGACAAAATCCCCACCCCTCGGGCAAAATTGAAGTGACAATAAGTGACTGCCTTTAATTCCATTAATACGCCAACGTTAACAGTGAAATTTGAGTGACCAAAATCCCCACCCTGGGGCATGAAAAACGTGACCAAATCCTGACATCAGACCTTGGGCAGCGCGGGGTGGGAGTGGTGTGGGTAGCCCCACTAGTGTGGCCGAGGTATGCTGCGCTGAACCTCTAGCCACACACCAGGGTATTGCACACTACTGAGGAGGTTCTCAAAAACATTACGCACATTTTCTTACATGTATTTTATGATGTTTTAGCTTTCACTTCTGAGATGCTTAGGTGTAATAATATCCAATTTTCCGAATTTTTTAAAAATCTTTCTGGAGCCCATATGCACGCGAAAATCGTCTGTTGATGGCAGCCATTTTGAATGTACGAAGCGATGACCCCAAATCTGTGACGTCGCGCTTATGCAAATCATCTTCTTGCTCAACAGGCGCGCGAGTTGTGATGCGATGGCATCACGAGGCCACGTGATAATTGCTGCGGATAATTTGGTATCGCACTGACGCTCCGGACACTCCACATGTCCAGATAGATGTACAATTCCAAATAATTAGCAGTGTTTATCACATGGTCTCATGATTAGCCCGTCTGACGCCACCCGCACGCCTGATGGCCTGATCCGACAAGATCGATTTGCATAAGCGCGACGTTACAGCTTTGGGGTATCGTTTTGTACATTCAAAATGGCTGCCATTAACAGACGACTTTTGCGTGCATATTGGAAAAATTAGATATTATTACACCAAAGCATCTCAGAAGTGAAAGCTGAAACATCATAAAATACAACCATGTAAGAAAATTTGCGTAATATTTTTGAGAACCTCCTCAGGAGTGTGCAATACCCTGGTGTGTGGCCAGAGGTTCAACGCAGCATACCGCAGCCACACTAGTGGGGCTAGGGTGGGGGAAGCATTTGAAAGCGCATTAGCCTAGAAAGAGGGTGAGTGAGTATGCTTCTTTATGCAAAAATAAACTATGCCTACAAACTAACCCTAAATGTGAAATGGTGCCTGGTGGAAGTGTGGCCTTTATTTACAGAGGTAGGCCTAGGGCTAGGCCTAGACTTAGCCCAGGTGGACACCCTTTCCTCCCTACGTTACGGAGGGAGTCCAGGATATGAAGTGCGTCGATTATGATAATGAGTCACATTTGTAAACACATACATGTGCATTTCGAACTGTAAAAGGGAATCAGGAACCAGCTTGAACTGGTATCCGCGATAAAAGCTGCGCTAGTTCCCGACTCCCTATTATCGTTTGAAATGCACATGTGTTTACAAACGTGATCCAGTCTACTCATTATCATAATTGATGCATCGCGCGCGCTCGGTAACGGAATCGCACTCGGGATACGGGGACCATTGAATGTACGCTGGGCATGAAGAAGAAAATCGCGTCGTTCAAACATTAAACACAATCGGAAATTTAACGTGTTCAAGATCGCGAGGGGAGCTCTCCGAAATGAACGGAAAATTTCACTTTTTTCCGGATCGTAAGTAAACTTCATTACAACCATCTCAATCATCGATGTCTACTTGTACTTCAGGTGGCATATCTAGTAATTTGAAGGCCGTTTTGAAGGTGAAATCTGATGTTTTTTGTTGGAAAATGTTGGTTTTTGGGACGGTGTTGTCCAGCTCGCGGTATTAGCTTGGACCCTACTATCGCCAGACCATGTCCAAATGTTAAAAAAGGCAATAAGTTGGGTCCAAGATACTCGGACTAGGCTAGGCCTAGACTATAGTCATGTACGTCCAGTAAATTGGCCACATTAATGGGGCTAGCCTAGAACTAGAAGAACGTTTCGTGAGGTTGCAGACTTTGCATGCTTTGGGGCAGAGACAAAACTTTCTGAAGAATAACACACACAAAAAACCGGTGGTGTCCTGAACTACACAAACTCCGACCGGTATGCATGCCTGTAACCTTAGCCGGCCTACTCAAAACGCGTCCGCGGTGTATACCGCATACGCTAGGCCTACCGTCATTACCGTACCGCATGAATGCATGCAGCAGGCCGGTTCAACCGTCCGGCAGTGAGTGGTATAAAACTTTCTTCCTCGCCCCAAAACGGAACAATATTGTCTGTTGTGCACACATAATGATTTAAAACTTACCCTCTAAGGTTTGCAGTACTTGAGGGGGTAAAATCCCCTGCAGAATTGTTTCCATGTTGATCGACATCGGGGAGGCACCGATGACCCTCGCTGGCTGCGCTCAAACAAGATGGCGTCGGTGAAGCATCACTTTTTGCCGTTTTGCGCCGCACATGTCACATGACTACCGGGAGCCAATCAGCACAACGGGATCGCGCAATAATGTTTAGAAAGTGAATTTGGGTGTTGATGTTTAGGATATAAATACTGTCTGTTTAGGAATTATACACGAATTTGATGGTGTTTAGGAATTGGACATGTTTAGATTGTTTGATTGTGTTTAATTGCTAAACACAGTTTTTAGAGTGTATGATATATTTTGTAATTTCTGTTGATGTGATTTTCATCCTTCCAATATTTCTATTCACCAGTCAACATTCTATACACCAGTAGGGGCCCGGTTAATTTTGTACGATTGCCCCTGGACCCCACCCATTAGCGCGAGCGCCTGCGCCGCTCACCGTGTGTGATGCGTAGGCACCCTGTTCCTCTTTCTGACTTTTCAATGTTGGCAGGTATGAAGGTGTGACGAAATATTGTTCAAACATAACAATGAAAAGTAAAATTGTTTGAAGAAATTGACCTGCGCTAGCGCTCTCACTCATTCGCACAGAAACTAAATACGTTCGGTCTTAGTTGATTTTACAAAACAAGCGTCCAGAACAGTTCTCAAGAGAAAAGGTCATCGCCTGAAGGCTGCATGATCAGTGGTGGCAGGAGACATCTCTCTTAAATATCTTGCAGATTAAATCTACTAAGCACACCCAACAAGAGCATGACCATCAATGTTATGTCCGTTTAATTCCCCCCTCCTCAATTAATTTGCACCTTGTGCAGAGAAGTACAAGTAACAGTGCTATCTATGTTGGTCTTTATACCTTGCATACCTTGCAAGTAGTTTTGTGAATATATGACTAATCATAAATGTATTGAATTTTAATGCACATAGAAAGCCCCCAATGCTGCATATTGCCGTTCGAGGTGCAATATGCTGCTGGAAGTGCTGCATGGTGAACATCGCGAACATCAATTGAAGACCCACTTTCTTGTGACTCTG